GTTCTGCTGACATCTCCTTCCTCTGAGCTCTTCAGCATGTCAGAGGCCTGGCACGGAAGATGGCTGTGCTCTCCACAGTTTGGTGGTGGAGGTGGGAGTGGCTGAAAGTGATGGTTCTTAGACAGACCGCCAATTTGAGGTGGGTTCCTGTTGCTGCAGAGAGGAGAAAGCAAGACTGACTATAGATTTACTTCTGCATGGTCATTATAGCTGATAAAGGTCAACTGAGGCAGAGTAGCATTCTTCATCTCAAAGATAGCAGTTCCTCTGGAATCATGAAATGTTAAGTGGTAAGGGGAAAAAGTGTTTTGTAGTCTTCCCTCTCATTTTACATATAGAGGAAGGTAAGACCCAGTAAGGAAGTGGCTTCCTTAGATCCAAAAGAGAGTTAATGGGTGACTCTGTACAAGTATATGAAAGGGAACATGACAGAAGCAAGACTTTCAGCTACTCTTAAACTGTACTTTCAGATAACATATGCTTAAGACGGCATGTAAGCCTTTCCCTCTTACTAACAGTCCTTACTTCCTTGTCTAGAATTTCCTGTGGATTAAAGACATTGCAACACCTTAAATGTGACTAATCCCCAGGAAATGATCAGATGTGAGTTTGTTTTAAAAATGATTATTTTCAAGCTTAATACTTCCATGCCTCAGGCATGTAATAAATTTTGTGTGTTATTTTTCTTGTTTTTTTTAAAAAAAAAGATTCTTCCTATTGCTCGTATTTTGTCCTAGATGTTTGGTCATCTAACAGCAAGGCAAATGCATATCTACATAGTTGGGCAGTGCCTACCCGGAGAATCTTACCCATTTCAGGATCCTCAGCACCGTGGATGGCACAGGGGAGGCACACACTTTCTGAGTTAATTTATGCATTGTGGAAAAGGTGGCCATTATAGTCTGACAGACCTGGATGTGAGTCCCAGTTCTGTCACTAGCAGTGTGGCCTTGGGCGATGTATTTCACCTCCAAGACTGTTTCCTTATCTGTGAAATGTGGTGAAAGTGTACATGCACGTCTACACGCACATTCCTTTAAAAGAGTGCTTTGCAAAGGCCTCAGCCCCCAGCATGGTACCTGGCACGTACACCATGGGAATTTTTGTTGTGTTTTTTTTTTTTTCTTTTTTCTAGAGAGCATTCTTACATTTAATTCCATGTTGGTTGCAGAACTGCTATTAGGAACCAGCCAAAGCAGTGGAATCTTAGATTTTGACAATCTAAATATTATCTGTAAGAGATACCTTTTTTTAAAAAAGTGTCCTTGGGCTAGGGTGTAGCTCAGCAGCACAGCGCCTGCCTGGCAATGCAAGACCCTGAGTTTGATTCCTAGTACCAAAAAAAAAATGTCCTTGTAATTTTCACCTATACCCTGATAATATGCCATTCATATTCTACCCCAACTGCCTTCTTTTTCTGTCCCTCAGCCTCTAAGAAAACTAATGGAAACATATAGAAAGCTCTAAGATATAACTGACCTTGTACCCCTTTAATTGAGGACAGAATTTGCTAAACTGTAGCCAAAAACCCACCAGTGGTTTACTTTACAATGTGTGTCCTGGCTAGACTGGCTGTTGGCTGTATAATTTGTCTAGTTTTGTCTGGAATCTTAGACTATTCAGCTGCTTCAGGGCAAAATCTTTTGGGGTGTCATTAAATGGGATTGATAATTGGCTTCTGATGAATATTCATTGTGACTAATGACTTTGGGCAAATTTTGCACATACTATCTTTCTATTCTCCTACTGAGTGAGATTTTGATAGGATCATTTTCCTCAACTTACACTTTAATTAAATATGCACAATACCCCTTTGTTGACTACACTTCAAATTGTATACTTTCATTACTTTAAAATTTTGTCTTCTAAAATTTTGTTGTCTCTAAAGAATGGGCATAATGGTTTAAGGATTCTCATTTTTAGAAATGGGGGTTAGAATTATTTTAAAATAAGTAGCTAGTGATATTTTACAGGACCTAATGTATTATTTCTGGCTAAGCTTAGGTATATAGTAAGACTTCCCTTAAAAAGTAATCAGCTTAGTCACTGTTCTTAAGTAACGGTGCACATAATTTGTGCCATTTAGTATTTTGGAATAGAGCCAAACAGTTCCCTGTTTTGTTTGTTTGTTTTCCTAATCAAATGGGTGAATGCATTTTACTCCAGTTGGAGAGGTCTGGCTCTTAGAAATGATCAAGTAACTTAAAACCATTTTTTTTTTTAATGAATAATTGCAAAATCCTGACTTTTAGCTTGGTGGACTTATTTTGAAGTTAAGACCTGGAAGAAACATTGTCTGAAGATAATATTTTGAATGAAAACAATTTAAGCTAAAACGAAGCAAGTGATCGAGTTCTATTTCAAACAGGACTATCCTATCAAATGACTGTTTCAGAGAATTATAAATGAATTGATGTGATAATTCTTGTGTTTGTGTAGTACTTCAACTCAATTTTCCAAAAGTGGTATATTTGTTTGTCTAAATTGTTGTTACTGTTTTGGAATTGGAGTTGTGTGCCCCACTGTGAACTCGTGAAAGTGGTAGGACAGTATTGTTGAAAGCCAAGCCACTGTCTATTGTGAACATATTCAAAGCATGATAATGGGACATATGCCTAGGGGAGCCAAAGAAAGGCTTCAAAGAGGAGGTTAGTATTTGTGCAGAGTCCTGAGTGAGACACATGTTTGCTAGGGGTACAAATCTAGTCTAGTTTGGAAGATAAGTAAAAGGGAGAGGGGAAGAAAGTCCATAATTATTCCTTCATCTACAAAGTGAAATATTTCAAAGGAGAACTTGGAGAAGGCAGTTAAGGCCAGTGGTTGGAACTGCTGCTTTACAGGTAGCATGGGAGCTGGTGGAGACATCCTTTCCCAGGCGTGCCCCTGTGACTTCCGAGCAAGTAGTGATGTGACTGAACCTACACATTAGAAGGAGCCCTCTGGCAGCTAGGTAAAGAAGGAGCTGGGATCCAAAGCTAGCGTAACCTTCAGTCTGACTTCTGGGTGGAAGTGGAGTAAGTTGGTTCATCTCCATTCACTTGACAACAGCAAGGATTTTCATTTCTAGGAAACCCTGAAGGGATTAGTCACATATATGTACATATGATAGGCTCCTTTATCGGGGGACCTAAAAAATAGGTTGGGAAGGGTGGGTTGGACCTTGCAGCCTTGGCACAGTTGATGGAAGCAGATCTCGAGTGCTTGCTGGATTGTTTCCTGTTCCCGGCGTGTACCTGTTAGAAAGAACAGAGTCTGAAAGCAAGAGGGGGTACCCTGGCTTTAATGCACAGGACTCACAACTGTGAAGCATCAGCAGAATATCCAATTTAAAGTTGTTCATGTTACACTAACCTCTGGGATTCTTTTAACTGGGCCTTGGCACATCACTCTTTCGCCACGTAAATGTCCTTCTGTCAGCAAAGGCCAGTTAACGGCTTCCAAAAGAGGCGAAGTCCTCATGGGAACAGGCTTCCCAGAAACCAAAGAAACATTAAAGAAAAAACACAGAAAGAAACACGTGTTGTTGGCTTTTGTCACTTCATAGCTGTATCTCCAAAGGTTGGGTTTTTTTCCCCTTCCTTTTTGCTGTATTGAGTTTTGTAGCAATTGTATCCATTTTTAGTATTGTTATTTTCTAGATTTTATGTCCCAAATACTGATTTTTATGAGACAGTATCTCTCTTAAAATAAAAAAGAAATATGAAATAGGAGCATGTCAAAAGAATAGGAAGAAGAAGGATTAGCCAGTAAAGGGTGCCAGAACAATTGATTAAGTATGTGGAAAAAATAAATTTTCACATCAGTTCTTAAAACTAAATTGATTCCAGATGGGTTAAAGAGTTAAATGCTCAGAGAAATTTTTCAGGACTTTCTCAGGATAAAAGTAGTGGAAATCACCACTAAAGAAAAAATTTGTCTACATAATTATTTAAACCTTCTCTTCATTCAGAAATTTGAAGAAAAGTAAGGATAAATCATTTTCAGAAACATTGCAAAGGGCTGGTATCCTTTTCAAGTTATCAGTGCTGTCTTATAAATCAGTGTTGAAATACTAATGCCCCATTTTAGAAGTGGACTGAGAATATAACACGGATCATTTACCTAAGAAATGTAGTCAAGAAACATGACAAAAGTTGTTCAGCCTCAATCTTGATCAGAGAAATAAAAATAGAAGCAAGATCGATACGATTTTAAAGGTGCTGACTTGACTACAATAGACAGTGCTGGTGAGAGGCAGTGAGATGAACACCATAGCAGTGGCTGGGGAGTATAAACAGCTGCTATCCAGCTATTTATTACATTAACGTATTTATGTTATTACATTTGGTAAATGCCTTAAAATATTCATGAACCTTGTCCCTAAATTCTGCACTTAGGAACTACATATAAAATTTTTGATCTGATGGAATTCCATAACTTAGTGATAGAAAAGTAGCAAAATACAGAATAAGAAATTCATTGAATATCATTAAAAGATATATTTCCTAAGAATATTTATAGATGTGGGAAAATGGCATCAAATAATTTTAAAAAGAACGCTGTATTTATAGTAATCCTCATCTTATTAGGAAAAGAAACATAAGTGCTTATGTGTGTAATGCCCTAAAATGGTAAATTATCTTCCCATAGTGAGGGCTTCTACCTTCTTGTATCTCTCCATTTTCTGAATGTGTTACTCTATTCTAAATGTGCGTTGGCTGTCTTTTCTTTTCTTTTGTAGTACTACAGTTGGAACCCAGGGCCTCACACACAGTAGACCAGAGCTCTGCCACTAGTATACCCCCAGCCCTGCATTACCATTTATAATCAGAAGAGAAATATTTTGAAAATTAACAAAGTTTGCTTTAGGATGATCAAATTAACTTAGGGTTATTTCTTCAGATTTTTCATCCTGTAATTTTAAGTATGTTGATGTGTACATATTTGATTTTATTGCTGCAAGGCAGGGACAGTGCTTAGTCTCTTGATTTTTCTGAATTTCTGCTTTGCTTCTGTTGCAGTTGACTGCCTGCATCCACGGCTCGGCCGCGATGCTCTACCCCATGTACTGGCAGCATGTGTACATCCCCGTGCTGCCCCCACATCTGCTGGACTACTGCTGGTAAGACTGCGGTGCACCCTGCCCTCCGCTTTCCTGCTTCCAGGAATGGGCTGGGCAGGATAGATCCATAACTTGTTAATGCCAGTGAGGACTCTAAATTAAAATAGTCTACACTGACTCAGATTTGGGAGCACCTGATTACGTAGCCCTTTTCTTTCTAAGCAGCTTTCATGTCTCATGACATTCTGAAGAGTTCAAGAGAATAGGTAATCCTTTTCCCATTTCTCAGCTTGGAGAAACCAAAGCACCAAGAAGTTGTGTGCTTTTTTGCCCCGAAGACAAATTGGAAACTGGTGACAGGAATGTTCAAGATCCCTAAGGTCTTCAAGTTTGAGCCATGCCCTTGCATGTCGCATCAGACTTGCTCTCAGCTGCCATCTGGGAGCAAAAGCCAGACTTCAAAATCCTGTGAAGCTTTTTGATGAGAATGTCACTGCTGAGTGAAACATATTTTAGTAGAAGGGAGGAAGCTTTGGAGTTGACCTGGGCAAGTCACTTGGCCTCAGGCTTTGTTTCGTCATCTGCAAGACGAAGTTGTGCAGTACGTAATTATATATCAGTGAAAGGAGATAACAGATGAAGGACATCAGATATGTAGAAAAGCTGGGGCACAGAGGTGGGTAGTTAGTGTTTCTGCTGTAGCATCCTCCTCCTCCTGTCTTCAGTAGATGATGTCAAAAATCTGTGTGGTCAATTTGGATCCGTTTTCTTATGATGAATCTTTTCTCTAATATAATGTGATAAAAAGACATTATCTCCAAACAACTCTTATAAGCAGATGTTGATGATGGAACACAATTCATATGTAGGGAAAGGCATTCACTGCTTGCCAGAAATTGAGAGCTTCTGGACAAAAGAACCCTATCACTTAAAGACAAATGATTCAGGACATGTGCCATTGGTTCAGAATGACTTGAGTCCAGACCATTCATAATTTTTGCTGTTTTGCAACCCTCTCACTGTGGAGATTCATCCACATAGCCATATTATCCTCAGAGCTTAAAGGCATTCTACTTTCCCCCTGGTTTGGTTTGTTTTGTTTTGTTTAGTAAATGTTTGTAGTACATCATGACCCCACTCATCCTGGGGAGTTGGTGCATGTACATAACACATCTTAATTTGCTTTTCATCCCCTTTCCCTCCCTTCTTTTCCCTTTCTGTCCTCTCTGGGTCCCCTTCCCTTTTACAAAAGATCTATCTCCCTGTTTCCTATTATTTTTCTCTTTTGCCCTTTCATTTATATTTTGGGTTTTTCATATAAGAGAAACCATGCAATATTTAAGCTTATGTGTCTGATATATTTGACTTAACATTACAGTTTCAAGGTGCAGCCCTTTTCCTACAAATGACTCAGGTCTTTCCTTCTTTATGGCAGAGTAGTACTCTATTTTGTGTACTCATCTGTTGATGGAAATATAGGCTACTTCCAATACTTAGCTATTATGAGTTATGTTGCTACAAACATGGATATATATGTATCATTATATATTATATTATCATTATAATATGCTATTCAGCTGGATCAAATGGAATTTTTTTATTTTCAGTTTTTGAGGAATCTCCATACTGACTTTCGTAGTGATTGTACTAGTTTACAGTCCCATCAACAATATAAAGGGATCCTTTTTCTCCTGTAACCTTGCTAGCATTTCTTATTATTCGATTTCTTGATGGCCATTCTTTCTGGAGCAGAATGGCATCTCAGTGTTGTTTTAATTTGTATTTCTCTAATGGCCAGCAGCGTTGAACATTTTTTTCATGTACTTTTTGGCCATTTGTACTACTACTTCTGAGAAGTTTATTCATTCCAGTTGTTGATTTTTTGATTGGGTCTTTTATTTAGAGGGAGGCCTAATTTTTTTTATATCTAGATGCTAGTCCTCTCTCCAAGGAATAATGGGAAAATATTTTTTTCCCATTCTGTAGGTTGTCTCTTTACTGTGTTGGTTGTTTCCTTTGACGTGCAGAAGCTTTTTAATTTGATATAATTCCATTTGTTGATTCTTGATGATATTTCTTTTGCAACTGGGATTCTGTTCTGAAAGCCCTGCCTACACCTATGTCTTCAAGAGTTTTACCTATTTTCCCTTCCAACAGATTGTCTTTCTGTTTTAACATTTAGATCTTTGGTCCACTTTGATTTAGTCTAATACAGATGAGGGTTACCAGTCTAGGTTCAATCTTCTGCATATGGATAGCCAGTTTTCCTAGCACCATTTGTTAAAGAATCTGTCTTTCCCTGCTGTGTATGTTTTTAGCCCCTTTGTCAAAGATCAGATAGCTGAATGTGCCTGGAGTCCATTCTTCATCCTCTTATTCTGTTCCATTGGTTCACATGTCTGTTTCTGTGCTTGTGCCATGCTGGTTTTTTAGCACTGTAGCTTTGTAATGTAATTTCAAGTCTGAGATTGTGACACTTCCTGCTTTGCTTTTGTTATCCAAGATTGCTTTTCCTCTTCTGGGTCTCTCCTTGTTCCACTTGAATTTTAGTATTATTTTTTCTAGTTCTGGGAGGAATACTGTTGTTATTTTGTTTAGTGTTCCCCTAATTTGAAAGTATTTGGCTCACCCTCCTCCCGAGGAACCACATGTATAACAAAGATTTCGCTCATGGCCGGTAGATAAAAATCAGAGCCCTCCCTTGAGAATAACACAGATGAATTGGCTCATATTTTTATCATATTCCTTTCTTACTAAGATTGGTCTTCCATGCCTTTCTTTTACGACTTATGAGATAAAGGGGCTGTATGTTTCCTACCATGTGGAAGATATAATCCTAGCTCTTGGTTTTTTTGTTGTTGTTGTTTTTTGTTTTGCAGTAGTGATTGAACCCAGGGCCTTCACAATGAGATACATCTCCAGCCCTTAGTTTATACTTTATTTTGAGGGGGCTGGGGATTTAGCTCAACAGCACAGCACCTGCCCAGCAAGCACAAGGTTGTGAGTTCGATTTCCAGTACCGGGAAAAAAAAAAAAAAGAGAAAGAGAAATGAGATATACTTTATTTTGAGACAGGCTCTTGCTAAGTCATGAAGTTGACCAGGCTGGAATTGAACTTTTGACTCTTCTGCTTCAGTCTCCCAGAGTTTTCAAATCAGAGGTGTAAGCCACCACACCTGGCTTATCTTGGCTCATTTAAAATTTCTTCTTGATTTATCACATGGCTGGGCTACACATTTTGTTCACTGTGTCTTTTTATATCTTGGCTTATTTTGGAAATTATTTTCAGTCAATGCCTTCTAGGTACTGCTAGTCTCGGTTTTATTTTTCCTCCCTTTTTGGAGCAGGTAAGAAGAATTCCAGTTTTTGCAGATGGAAAGGATGAGAATGTAAATCCCTCATAATAAATTCAGTTTGTTCACCATTAGATAGTTGTATTTCCTCTTTAGGGAATGTTTTTAAAATTCAAGATCCCTCTGGAGCCCCAACCCATCCACATTCTCTATCTTCTCCCCTCCACTGGGAACTCCATGGAGTACTGAACTCTCTTCAGTAGTAGCTGCCCCTTCTGCTCCCAGGTTAAAGTAAAGGTCATCAGACTCCTGTCCCCTGCCATGGCTTGGTGCAAGCTCTACTCTGTCCTTTGACTTCCAGCACAGTGCCTGGGAGCCTTCTTGACCACCCCATCAGTGTCATCGCCTTGTCCCCAGGTCTTCACTACTTACTTGTCTAGATCTCCTGTCCATCTCTTCCTGCTGTCCTCAGTGACTTCACAGGCCACACCATTGGCCTCCCCTATCCTATGGAGCTCACACTGGCCTGTCCACAGGTTCTTTCTCTCCCTCAGAGAGGCCGAGAAATAGTGCACACATGGATGGAGCTGAGAAGAGCTGAGCCCTTGTCTTACTTTACCTCCCAGTGCTATAGCTTAAAGTAGGTAGCTTTTCTGAATCTTGGCCCTTATCGATAGCAGGATAAAAATGCTAGAACTTCTTATATTGTTTCAAAACAATTTTATATGCAAAAGCACTTGATAGACTGAAAAGTACTATCAGCTACTCAGCAGGGTAACACACTTGGTGTCATTTACTCATTTAAAACTCCCTTGATTCCATATCTCTGGCCTTTGCGTTTTCCCCTCTGATTGACTTCTTTCCTCAGCTCCTGCACCTGTTCCCTGTCCTCCCAATACCCGTTCTATCTGTCTTTACCACCTCTTTCCTTTTCCCTCACCTCCTTGTTGCTTCCTCTCTGTTCTGCCCCTTTACTAACCCTCTTTGGGTTTTGTTGTCTTCCTGCTTACTCTGGGCCTTTTTCAGTGCAGCAGATATTTACTAATGCATGCCATGTCTCAGGCATTGTGCTAAATGTGGACAAACATGAGAATGAGTTTCCATCAAGAGGGGCTCAAACAGTTGGGTGTACAAGAAAGGTACACAGACATATCCTGTACACCTAAACTGCTAAGATGCATGAGAGGGGAGCTATTCAGGGTTCGCTACCAATTCTTTATAGGATTTGGCTGCCCTGACTTTGCCACTGTCACTCAGCCCTCTGGCATCTTTCTATCTGGAAATACTGGCAGATTCTGCTAGAGAAAGGCGGGAAGCCATTGCATAGAAGATCCAGTGGAAAGTGGTTTCACCTGTCCTCATGTGTTCTGCTGCTCTGCAGTTGGCCCCAAATCCTCACACCTGCCATGCATCAGGCTCCAGCCTGGGCTTCTCCTTGTTCTGCTTGTATTGCCACCACTGTTTTCTCCCCTGTCTAGGGCCTGTTCCTATGCCTTCTCTCCTCCTCCTTTCCTACGATCCATGAGAAAGGAAGAACCATCTTTCCAAAACCAATGACCTCACCTGGGCCAGGGTTCCCTCCCCTGAGGATGGTCTGGGATGCTTTACAAATTCTGGTCTTCCTGGTATCATTAAATTCCCCTACCTTCCCTCCTCTCCCTGCAAATGTGCTCTGATGGCCCATTCCTCAAACTAGACCTTTGCTTACTTGCTGTTATGGTTTGTGTCTGGGTGTCCCCCCAAAGCCTCATGCGGTCATGGGGCAGGCTTTTAGAGTTTGATTGATTATGGGTGTGAGAGCTACACCCGCCCTGGGGTGGATAGTTTGCATATGTAAGGAAGAGGAAGAGGCTGCTTATGGCCATTCCTCCCCTATTCCTCCCTTTTGGGTTGTTGCTTTGGCTGTGTTCTGCCACCATGAGCTGTAGCCCTCTGCCATGTGCCACTCTGCCTTGTAACCTGCCAAGTATGGACTGAAAACTCCACAAACTGTAAGCGAAATAAACCTTTCCTTCCTTAATTTTGGGCATAAAGTATTTTGTCCCAGCAATGAGAGAAAAGTAACCAAGACATTTGCTGTTAGTTCCATTTCACAGATCAGTAAACCAGGGGCCAAAGAGGTTCAGTAATTTGCCTCAATACAGATACTGTATTGTCTGTTCCATCCTTATAAAAAACAAGAATTATGACTATACATGACACAAAAACTAGATGTACCTGTATGTATACATATAGAGAGGCAGCAATCTGAAAAGAAATACACCAAAATATTTAATAGTGATGTGATGGGGAAGAGCAGATTCTAGCAGGCTTTTTATTTAATCATCGTATATTGCTGCAAAAAACAAACAAGGTCTTTATAATTTTGAAAGCTTTCTTTCGAAAAATTAGTTTTCATTCTAGCCAGTTGTTCTTTCCAGCCACCATCTTTCCCATTTTACTTGCTTAAAGGATGTATTAGTTATTTTACACTTTCCTAGCAATGTTGATGTAGATCCTCTTTTTCACCAGGAGAACTGGGTCCCCAGTCTAACCGAGGGCAGTGATGTCAGCAGGTACAACTTCAATGGAAAGACTTGGCAAGGAAGGTGCTGGAAGGAGCCCTTGTCTCCCCAAACTTCCATTCCAGAGATGCACAGTTCAGACTTGCATTGGTGGCTGAGTGGGTTCTGTGATGAGGTTTCGTCTTGAAAGTTTCTGCGTTTGTATAAAAGCAGTCCCTCTCTTAGGCTCTTTTTCCAAAACACTTTTTAACCTCTGACCAAAGGATGATTCCAGGCCAGTGAGGATCGCTGTCTCTTTGTTAATTGTAAACTGTAAGAATGATGAAATGATAGACCCCAAGAGAAAGAAGAAAAAACCAAGTCCTCCAATCAAGGCTTAATTTGATCACCTTGAGCCTGCTGCCACCGCTCTGGTCAGAAACTACAAATATCATGCAATTTGAGTCAATGCTAATAACTTCCTTCTACTGTGCTCAGTGACTTTCACCACCATTAAGTGTAATCCTTGGTAGTAAGAAGCAGCAGGGAAAACTAGCATTTTAAGTAAAGTGCTAGGATCCTGAAACATGTAAATTTGAGGGAGGTTTGTTCCTCTGCCGATGATTTAAATGTTAAGTACATCCCCATGCAGGGGACGCACAAAATGGAATCTGAAAACTATTATCTCCTGTAGAAATGAACTCTCAATTTACTCACTGCACAGGAAGGGCGGATTCTAGTCATTTTCACTGCCAGCAGGTGCCCTTTCTATGCATAATAGACTTCACAAGTGTAATTAACACATGAGGACCACTGCTGCCAGTTTTTCTTCAGGTACATGCTGCTAGGAGTTTTCAGGACAACAGTGTAGGCCACAAGAGCTTTTCACCTTGCACTTGAAGATGAGGTGTTCATTGACCTCTGGACAAAGACATGTTAAATGGGGCCGAGCACAGCCACTGCTGTTGTTATCATAGGTCATGGTTCTTGGACCCAGGGACCCCAGAAACTATATTACAGCCTTAGATAGACCAGGGGACAGTGCAGCAGAGCTTCAGTTTGCATGCGGTTAATAAATGGAAAGTATGATGCCGAAAACCCTGCAATTATGTGGAAGACTCTAATTGCACATTCACAAATACAACAACCAATTATCTGAGTTAGCTTTAATTAGAGCTATAATCACAGTTTTTAATTATCTGAATAAATCAAGTTTGGTACAAATGGCTGGCCTTAAATATTTCCCAAATTAATTTTCTCCTGTCCCTTCCCACTTTGGGAGAGCCTGGTAAAAGTGGAAAGTGGTTGGGTTTGGATTCAGACAAACGTGCATTCAAATCTCAATTTCCATCTCTTAGCAGTTGTGTGACTGTCAAAAATCTGCTTCACCTCTCTGAATTTCAGTGTCTTTTTCTGTAAAATGGGTCTAATTTACCTACTTTAAGAAGTGGCTGCAAGATCAATGGTATATGAGTCATCAAGTAGTACCAAGGCACAACTTAGTTCGTGGTGATTGCCCTTAACCATTATTACTAGAAAATTGGGTTATGAGTTTGGGTTTTGAGAAGGTTTAACTCACATCAAATGTTATTCTTGCTTCTGCTGCTTTGTGAGCTCAGGGAAGACTTCATAATTCATCTCTTTTTACCCCTCAGATTGTTTTTATTTTGATTTTTTTTTATTTAACTTGAGTTATTGTATGGTTGTTTTCATTTGCAGCTGTGGCATAAGAATGAAAAGAAAAGAAACAAAAGCAGATGGCAGAGAAAACGAAAGGAGTAAGACATTTCCAGCCCTTATGAATATTTAAAAACATGTGCTGCTGGTTCCTTTCTACTTTAGATCTGTGCCATTCCCTTGACTTTGAAAGTGAAAACGAGAATGTTCCCTACCTTAGCTGACAGCATTTCTGACCTTGACCAGTGCTGGGAAAGCTTTTCCATTTCTGGGACAAAAGAATTAACTTGCTGATGAGCATCAACATTTCATTTCATAGTAACAATCACCATCAATGGGTTACTGTGGGGCAGGGGGAAGTTCTCTATAAACATTATCACAAATCTGCCAGATCAAGCTTTAAAGTAAATTAACAGTTTCCTTGTAGTATATGTTAGGAAAGTGAAGCTCAGAGAGGTTTAGTGATTTATCCACTGTCACACAGCTAAGAAATAATGGACCTTGGGCTTGGAATCCAACGACACCTGATGTTAAAGCTTTTCTTAGTAATATCCTCTAGAATATTAGAGTTATACCCATGCCAACATTTTCTGAAAAAAGTTCTCCATAAGTCTTCTTAATGTCTTACTTATTATAGATGTATGTTGTCATTCATTAATTATACATTCTCTCAACAAATATTTATAGAATATTTATGATGTACCAGGTACCATGCTAATTAAATTTTGCTAATAAAAGGATCCAGTGGAAGCCATATGGTATTGCCCATGTAAATTCTTTTTTCTCTTTCCTCCTTCAGAAGTAAATCTAAAGAAGTACCACAAATTAGTTCCCAAGTTGTATATTTAGGATACAATATTTGTGTTGAAAAATATTTTCAAAGCAGATCACAAGTTCATGTGTTCCCCTAACGGCCAACCAGGTCAAAAGTCAGGTTAGTAGCTAACTCCTGATGCTTTTTGTTACCAGGATTGAACCAAAAAGTTAAATAGGATACATAAAATTAAGACGTAGATTTTGATTTGAGTTTGTAAAATGCATTCTTTCTTGGCATTGTAGAAGCTGTTCTTCCTCTCAGCATGAGATTGCTCAGACTCTGTGAGATATAAGTTCTAGGCTGGCTGTGCTCCATGTAGGGCTCTGAACCAACCCTCACACGCTGCATTATGTACTCCATTTAGGATTTTCAGCCCCAAATTTGAAATACATCTGACGACAGAGCACACAGTCCGTGTAAGGTGATGGGGCATCAGACTGGACACAGCTGTGAAGAGACATCCAGTTAGTCAAAGCTGGAGTGGTTCTAATCACTGTCTTCAATATCAGAAAAATTTGCATAGGTAATAAATCAGTGCTAAATTAAATGGAATTTTTAATATTGTTGGTGACGGAGACAGAAATCAAATGAAAATGCGATTTGGTAGAAAAGGAAAACCTGGCTTTGACATGGCTTTCCCATTTACTACCTTTGAATTCTCTTCTAAGGTAAATAGAATTTACTGTTGACACAAATCAGGTGCTCCAAAAATAGTAGATTCTACCTTTATTTTATTCATGACTATATATATTTGGGTGGCGGGGGCGAGAGAGAGAGAGAGAGAGAGAGAGAGAGAGAGAGAGTATGTGTGTGTGTGTAAATCTAGTTGACATTCACAATACCCAGGTTGGATGGAAGAGGATTAGATGGACAGGTGTGGCTAAAATTCTACCTACCCAATCCTGGCCTATGTAGGTTTTCTTAAAGATTGAATTACAACAGGCACACAAAGCTATATGTCTTTTCCATGTTGAAGCAAGTAGTTACGCGTATGTATTATGTTCCTGGCACCAGGCATAGAAAAATGAGACAACAGAACTCCAGCATCCAGGCAAGATTGGGAAAACCGCTATTTTGTGTTTTGGGAAGGGTTTTTTTGGCTATGAAGCAGGGGTCTAAGAGTGTTCCATTGCTCCAGAGTTGGTACCATTGTGACAGGAGTTCACCTGGGGGCGTTGTGAGGGAATGAGGATCAGGATTTCAGTTTCAGACAAAAGACAAGAAGCTGGATCACTAGTGGGCCTGATGGCCAGGAAGTACACACACACACACACACACACACACACACACACACACACACACATACACAAATACAAATGTGTGTGTTGGTTAAGCAAAGGGAAATTATAGATTGCTAAGTAAATCCTTAACAGTTTGGCTGAAGTTTGAACAGAAAGGGCAAGTGATGGGAAAGAGTTCAGACATGGAAGTCAAACTTCTGGTTTCAAATACTGGCTCTTGTCCTGCTGAATATGTGACTTGGTGAGTCACATAACCTCTCAGAGCCTCAGTTTCCTTATCTGCAAAATTATTGCTAGGAATACAGTTAAAATTATTATTGTCTATGAAAAGCCTGGTAGCAAGAAAGCAACTAAAGGGGCTGGGGGTTTAGCTCAGTGGCAAAAGCGCCTGCCTGACAAGCGCAAGGTCGTGAGTTCGGTTCCCGGTACCGGAGAAAAAACAAAAAAAAAAAAAAAAAAAAAGAAAGCAACTAAAAGCTTCTTAGATGATGATAGCTACTGAGCGCTGTGTTGAGATGGACTTTCATTTGCCTTAGCAGTACTCAGCACTGTGTCAGGAGGCTTTAGAGAAAGCTTTGGGCAATTTCTGAGTAAACTGCTGGATAGAAGTAAGAAAGAGAACAGACTAGGTTCTGTGCATTGTCTATGCTACAAATGCTGTAAGAATTTAAACTCTACAGGAAAATGGTCTTTTTTCCATTGATTTTTTTGAAATATAATTCACGTATCACAACACTCATCCTTTTAAAATGCAGTGGTTTTTAGTGTATTCCAACTGTCTTATCTAATAATATGTCTAATATGTGAGATATTTAGACTCACTAGCATAATATCACCACTCATTCCTGAACCATTAGGTTTATTGTTGTACATATCCTTATCATAAAAAATGTTTAACCTTTCAAAAATTATATACAGCAGAAAGCAAATGGTGTACAAAAGTGAGTAGTGTACATAAGTGGTTGGCGTCTAATGTTTACTCCGGCCCTGCACAGTGCTCCAGAAGCTGCAGATACCAGGAATATAGCAGAACAGCTCTCATCCGGCCTCAGCAGCAGCATCCCCCAGATATTACTGAGATGTGCAAGGTGTCTTATTCCTTTTTCTCTTGCAAAACAGGAACGCCTTCTGAGATGAATCCACGCTTCTCAGATGAAGAAATACAAACAGCAAATAAATATATCAAAAAATGTTCAACATCACTATCATTTGAGAGATGCAAATTAAAACAACACTGAGATTCTGTCTCACCCCGGAGAGAATGGCTTTCATCAATAAATCAACCTAACAAATGCTGATGGGGCTGGGAGGAAAATGGAACGCTTCTCCACTGTTGGTAGGAGTGTAGACTAGGGCATCCACCATGGAAATCAAGGGTGGAGGTTCCTCAAAAAACTAGGATTAGAGGTCCCATTTGACCCAGGTCTTCCCCTTCTGGGTATCTTTCCCAAAGAATTAAAAACATCTTACCATAGCAATATATGTGCACCCATGTTTATAGTAGCACAATTTGTAATAGCTAGGTCTTAGAAACAACCCAAATGCCCATCAACCAAGGAATGGATAAAAAAGATGTAGTCTTTTTAGACCATGGAGTACTGCCCAGCCATAAAAAAGGATAAACTGGAGACCTTTGTAGGTAAATGGATGCAACTCGAGACCATGCTATTAAGTAAAATAAGTCAGATGCACATATGCAAACATCGTATTGCCTCCCTAGTGTGAGAAACTGAAAGAGAAATTAAGATCCAGAATATAAAATAGATATGGGGAAATGGGAAGAAACTGTTCAAAAGGAAAGAGAAACTCAGATGGGGGAAAGGAGAAAAGAAGGAAGGGAAAAGTGTTCTCTCTCTCTCTCTCTCTCTCTCTCTCTCTCTCTCTATATATATATATATATATATATATATATATATAAATATGTTTATACACACAAGGTAGTTAAGATCACTATACTACTAATTTCTCTCAGTTCATTGAAAAGAAAGGTTTGTGCTAATATTGTTTGGACAATTAAATGCCTATATCTTGTACTCTGAGTAACTAATTTAAAGATAAGATTATGCAATGTATTAACCATTGTTAACCCTTCTATTGTTTTGGAATTTTGTTTTATTGTTTTCTCTTTAAAATTAAAAAAAAAATTAAAAAATCAGGAATTACTGAGACTGGGCAATTTATAGAGGAAAGACATTTATTTTAACTCACAATTCCAGAAGTGCAAGAGTAAGGCACTGTTATCTGCTTGGCCTCTGGTGAGCACCTTGTGCTAGAAAGTGGGAAAGCTGAATGGCAAGCCGTTGTGTTCCCAAAACCGGTCACATAGCAAACGAGAAAGCGTGACCGGCAAATGTTGCCTTATGTTAACCTGCTCTCGAGGTAACTAATCCAGTCTTGTGAGAGCAAGAACTCACTCCCAAGAGATAGCATTAATTTATACATGAGGGTTCCACTCTCACCATCCTAACACTCCCAGTAGACCCCACCTCTAAACCTCAGTGTGAGCTCTGTGGGCACAAGCATCTTCAAATCATAGCACACAGTTAGAGAAGACAGCGTCTCCTTAACATGGAAATGACCCTCTCCAGGTTGGGTGCTGACTGGCTAGCCCCACTCACCCTTTGAGGTGCTCTCCTAACTTCAGCGCCTCCAACCTAGTAGTTCCTACCTCCTTGCTGCTGTATCTGAGCTTCTTGACCTGCTCTGTCAGTCTTAGCTTCCCAAACCTTTCCTCATGTGATAAGGAGCAACAGCTTGCCTCCCCAACCCCAGTTACTGATGTAGCTGGCTCAGACTTGGGCTTACCCTTCCAAGCCCAGCCTGGCTTTCCATTCTCATAACACATTCTGTATGTAATTCCTACTCCCTGACCTGGAACTTCTGAGGGACACGGTTTAGTGTCCCTACAGCAAAGATATTCTAGCTGTTTCTGGGAGCTACAGGTCATAACAAGGCAGACGTCACAGACCATGGAACATCAGGGCCCCGGAACAGCTCAGCGTGGAACAAGTCACCTCATGGCAGGGCTTGGAATAAGTGTTCTTCTCTCAGTGTTTGGCACCAAGGAAAATACATGAAGCTCCAACATGATGCTAGGCTTTGAATCTCTCTCCATAAATGTGGGTCTACCATTTGAAAAAAATTATGGGTCTGTCTTTCCCTTAAACATTGGAAACACTGGGTAGCTAGGCTAACAAGGTGTGGGGATGCTGCACATCTTAAAAAAAGAGGTATCTTAGTCCTAGAAAAAGAAAAAAGGTTTTCCTGTTATACTGTTGCATTGATTTTTTTAAACACTATTTCTCCATAAACCTCTTCTTTGTTTTCTTCTCATGTGTGTTATACCTCATTTATTATTGCAATCTGTGAGGACCTCATGGGCTGCTGGTGACTCATAACCAGAGACTTCCTTTTTTGCGGCAGGCTCTAGCCATAATGATTCTCATTGAATTCTCTGTAGCAACAGAGAGCCCTACTCCTGACCCTTCCTCAGTGATTAACTTCTCCTACCGCCATGGTATCAGCCATGGAACCATTCCTGATGTTTCTTCCAGTAGACTGAGAAGGTGCACAAGGGTGGACAAGTCCAGGCTTTGACGTTGACTTTTCCAGGTTTTCATCCAGATGTTATCTTTGTAACTCCTGTTCGTTTCAGTTGAGTCTAGTGGCTTAGAGCTCTAGAAAATATCTGTACTCCCTCTGCCCCTGTAAGTTACCCCACAAAGCTGCAGAGCCAGTCTCTGAAGGGCCTCGTCACTTCTCTCTTCCCCATTCGCTCATCAGCACCATGATGTACATGTGTTTTGCATTAGGAAACCATCTCCAGTTGCCCCAGTGTGAAGGACCAGCTGGCACTGAGCCCACCTCCACCACTGGGATGCTTGTACTCTGGCTGCAGACACCGAAAATGGAAACGAGGCAGTCTCTGCCTCCTCCCCAAATCTAGAATTGTTCCTGGTTTTCCTGATCACTGTGATTGCTTATGAATGAGGTTACCTGGGTTGGAAACCAGGGAAGAGATGCTTGTTTAACTCATGGTGTTCCTCCAAGTTGTGATTTTAAGCTGTATTCTCTGCCTTGCACCTTCTGTGACCTTTATCAAGTCACTTAACTTCTTTGAGCCATAGCTTTTTCTGTAAGTTATGGAGATCAGCCTTTCAAGGTTGCTGCAAAGATAAAACGCAGTCGCCTTAGGCTTCCCAGTTGTGTACCCCACAGCACCTTTGAGTCTCTTTGCAGCAGTTTGTGCACATACAATATTTTGCTTATTTAATCTGTTGTTAGCTGTAAGCTCTAGATAGGCAGAGACCAAACTTATTCCACTTTCCTTTCTCCCCAGCCCAGTATGATGCCTGATCCGTGGTAATATTTGGTGACTGATGGACCACCATATAGATAATACTGAGCATATAGTAAATGCACCATCAGGTGGTGGTTTTCTCTTTCCCCTCCCTAGGACCCTTTTTAAAATTCAAGCTCCTGAGTAAATAGTATCTCCTTCAGCTCAGAATTCCCAGATACCAAAATCCACAGATCCATAATCTCCTATATAATATAGTGTAGTGTTTGCATTTATGTGTCTCTGTACATGTCCTCCCCTATTCTTTAAATCAGCTCTAGATTACTTATAATACCTCATACAGAGTCAAGGCTGTGTAAATAGTTGTTACTTAGCATTGTTTAAGGAATAACAACAAGAAAAAGTAATAGATCTCTGGCCTGACTATGTACATAGCACATGAACAAGGTGTGCAAGGTGTGCAAGGTACCAGGCACACATTGGTGAAACTGTGAGTGCTGGAGAGACACGGAGGATCTGTGGAGGCCACAGTAGGGCGTGCTGCAAATCACTTCATTCACATGGATTCAGGCCAGTGTTTAATATGGAGCAAATTCACATTTTGCTCTTTTGAACTTTCTGGAGATTTGTGTTTAGAATATTTTTGATCTACAATTGGTTGAATCCTTAGATGTAGAACCTGTGGATTTGAAAGCTCACTCTGTTGTTTTTGGGGTTTGTGTGTGTGTGTGTGTGTGTGTGTGTGTGTGTATGTGTGTGTGTGTAGACACCAGAAGTCACCTTATGACTTGGTTCTGTCTTTATGTTGGCAGCCAGAGTGCTTAGAACCCATCCTATGGCCATGGAAGTTGGGGGTCACAGCATGAAACACAGCTATTAACTATCCCAGACCTTTTTCCCTAGATCTTTCCTACTTTTGTAACTTAACTGAACAGTTTCATACAAATTGCTTTATACTGTATCCCATTTAGAACAAAAAAGTGCATCAGTCAAGTCCAGCTAGTAAAACAGTCTTATTTTAGACACAAATATACTTGCTATTTTATTTTTAGTATAATTATTAAATAAGCTCTTCTTGTTAAATGTAGCATATTGGTTAAGAGAAGTCACTATCAAATAAAAGCAATAAAGAGAGAAGGATGTGGGCTGGAATCAGTGCTAGCGGGCTGATTGTGGCACATTTCTAAGAATACCTTATCTCATCCCCGGCCCAGAGTGCTGCCTGATACATACTTACTTTGATTGATTATAAAATGAATGGTATCCATTGGATTATTTGAGGAGGAAAGAGATAAGGTAATAGAGGCTCCACACAAGTCTTGGTATGTGGTATGTGCTCAGCATGAAGCAGCATCACTGTCTTTATTCTCCCTGCTCTGTTCAGAGCACCATGGTAGGCTCTGGGAGATAGCAACTAGAACTCTGCTCTGTGACTGACAATTAAGAATAACCATTCTAATTAGAATGTGCTTTATGCCCTATGGTGACTCAGACCAAAGCCTCGAAGGGAAGTGTGAGCAACCGCCGGGACAATCGGAAATAGGCAACAAGGGCCCAGTAGGTCGTAAAGCATAGTGGGACAGGATACTATGTGACTGAGAAGTCGGAACAGTTTGAACCCAGACAGTGGAGAGGGTGCTCAGACATATTGTAGAGAGTCTTGGGACTTGGCCAGGCCACCTGTGGACCTCCAAGAAGCAGGCTGGAGAAGTCCTGATCTCCCTCTGCCCATGCCTCCTTCCCAGGCTATGCAGGCACTGGTCTTGTGGGAGAAGAATGGCTTGTTTTACCTCAGTACGGGGGACCTGCTTTCTGGTCTCACCGTGTGACCTGGGATGAGTAGTGCCCCAATCTGTAGTTTCTCCATCTCTGAAATGGTGGACCCAGCAGCATCTATCTCATAGCGTTGCCACAAGGTCCCAGTGAGAACATGCCTGTCAGGCCTCCGCCTCGCACCGGCTCCTGGCACATATGCAGTCAGCAGTGGTCTGCTGGTGGCCGCCTAGGCACACTGGCCGCCGTGTTAGCCTGAAGGACATATATCAGTTGCTGTCAGTGAGGGCTGAGCTCTGTTGATTTGTGTTCTCCAACAAGATGTGTTGGGTGGTCTTTGTTCTTATTCTTTCTCCCATTCTTTTGTCTTTTAACCTCTCTAGCAAAACCAGGCCTGGTTATTTAGAGCAAAATTTAAAACTGTAAGGTAAGCTATGTTTAAACTTTTGTTTCTTTTCAAAAACAAGAAAGAAGAAAACTCAAGGAAATAAGGTCTCTTTCAGTTTTTCTTGCCTTTAAATATAGTGAACTGAGGAACGACTCGAGGAGTCCCCTTTTCCTGTGAAGGGTGCTTGGGTAAGAAGGTGGTGCACCCTAGTAAAGTGGGCACTGCCAAGTGTAAACAGTAATGTTAACTGTCCTTTTACATGAAGGAACAGAAAACAAAAGGTAAACTTTCCAAATTCCTGGGCCATTCCCCACCGTGTTCCTCCCTAAGGTCAGAGAGAGCTTGTTTACCTGGAGGTGCGCCCTGCTCCCCACCTACTCTCTCCTCTCCCCTTCCCTTTTGTCTTAGGAAGCTGTGTTTTATGTATTTGAGCAGCCAGTGTTCTTTTATTTCACCTGACTCATTTCCAATTAGTAGCAGCTCACCTCAGGGGAACATAATTAAGAGGACTCTAGTTATCTGGGGGAAAGGAATTAAACAAATGGTGGAAGTGCAGTGGTAATGAACAGGGACTACAAAACCATTAATACATCTGCAGGAGCCATATTCATGCCTGTTCCTTGCTAGCAGTGAGCTCAGGCTGTAGGACCTAACCTATATGAGAAGTACTGTGTATCACAACTCTGGAGGACAAACCAGGGTTCACTGAAGGGCCCCTCTAGGACGCCAGCACTCTTCCTTTTGGCTTCCTACTGATTATGTGCCATGTGGCATCATAGGCAAACTAAGCTCATAAACCAGCAGCCCTGAGTTTGAAGTTCTTGCTTTTCTCCCATTCTTTTGCTTCTCCACTGGCTAGCTGTGTGACCTTGGGCAAGTTACTTCACTTTTCTGGGACTGTTTCCTCACCTGAAAATGTGGATAATACCACTACTTTGCAAAGTCAATTCTAAAATTAGGTGTCAAATGCATAAAAGTGATTGAGTCACTGAGTAATATTAGTTTCTTTTGCCTGTTTGGATTCAAAATAAAGATGGCTGTCAGATAAATGTCATTATCTTGTCACTACCTTGATACCAGCAAAAGAAACCCTTTCCTTTGCGAGGAACCTTTTCAAGCCTTTTCCTTGACTCTCCCAAGATGTCACTGAGATAGTCAGATATTGCAATACTTCCTACTACCAAGGCCTTGGAGGAAGTATTCTGCTATTCAGAGATATACAATGGCATCCTGCAATTGCTGTTAGCCACACAGCGGTTATGACACAGTTGTCATGGTCGGCTTATGCGTGAATTTGGTCATAGCTGTTAGTATTATTACTGCTTTAATTTAATTATGTGTGTTGTTGGTTCTGCCTGAGTTGTATTTAATTGCCGTTTAAAATGTTTTCAAAAATGCACTATGATTCAGCATTGAAATGTAAAGTCACTATGAATGCTGAAAGGCACCAAGCAGAGAAGCTGGGTACACATTTGCTTTTAGTAAAGCAAGTGTATTTGCATTCATAGTTTCTGAAAGAGCAACAGACAACTTCTTTCTAAAACCTAAAAGAGGAAGATAGTGTTCTGGTAGATGAATTTTCATTGTTTTGTTACTGATTCACCTTTAGAAAAGTGTGGACGTTGATGATCTGTATCAGAAAATTATTCCAATGAGTCAGTCTATTAATGTGAAGTTTTTAGGAGTAGCATATCCAGATTATTTTGCCATATTTTCTTTTTAATGTATCCCCGAGAGAGAAAAAACATTTCTAAAATTTGTCATTCTGAGTGGTCAGAAAGCAACAAATCATTGTTTCTTTCGTAATACATTAAAATAAAGAGGAAAGATACCCTTTGCAAGAAAATGACCTGTGACTCTGCTGAACTCAGGGAATGTATAGGTGACAAGAGAGTTGGCTTACGGGTTAGAAACCCGCGAATAGAAATGATGCATGTCACACATCTCTCCAGCAGGGGGTTTTGACCATCCTCATCAGTGGTTTGTCAGGAATCTTTCACAACCATGACTGGAGCAAGCACCCATTCTCTGAGAGAAAAGAGAGTGGATCTGATGGTGCCACCCTTGCCAGGGGCTTGGAGAGAACCTACTGGAACTTGACGGTCAACTTACCAAGTGCTACCAGGTGCTGCTTCTGTGCTAAGGCACCTCACGGGTTTGCTCCAGTCCCTGGCACAGTTGTGAAAGCTCTCAACTGGACAGGCACTTCCCTTTTGGGAAACACTTGGCCCCAGCATATAACAAAAGACATTTTTAAAAACCCAAAACCTAAGTAAAACAAAAACAAAAACTGTCCTGTCCTTTGACTTAGTAATTCAGTGTCTGGGAATTCATACATGAAGCTGTTCACTGTCATTACAGTGGTACTTAGAGAAAAGTTGGAAGAGACTTACTGTCAGAATAGAGTTCAATAAATTGTACATCCAAACTTGCTGCAATATTGTGCAGTCTTTAAAATGATAATCACAAAGGATGTAGAGAAAAATGGAAAATGTTAATGGGGGATGATACGAAAACAATAAAATGTGTATAGTTTCTTTCAAAGATATAGAATTGGTTCTTAGTATGGGCCAATGTTAGACAAGAATAATGCAAAAATAAAAGTGGTTGTGTTAAGGTGATATAATCTTAAGTACATTGCCCCCCAAATTGTCTTTTTATAATAAAAAGGAAAATAAAACAGGAGAGGTTTCCAAGAAAAAGAATCAGTAGCTACAGTAATTATTGGGGTATATTAAGAATATAAATTGTTTTCAGAACATACCTAGAATTACGCAGTCGCATGCTTGCCACACTGAGATGTTAAGGAGGCTGTTGGTTTCTTTTTCTTTCCTCTCCCTCCCCCCTCTTAGAATTTGTAATTATGTATTTTCAGAACAAAAATGCTTTCAACTCTGGGAAGTTTTAGAGGCTTTGTAAGCAAATGATGATAATATAAAAGGTATTTGTCCAAATTTGCATTCATACAAAACATGGAGCTGCTATGATTTTAGAATAAATGTGTTTTAAATATTTTCTAAATACAGAGCTGTTGCAGTCCTAACAATACTTGGCTAAGAAACTACATTTCTATGATAGGCCATAATTACTCTTTGAAAAATTATTGGGTTTAAAAAAAACTGCCTACCTAAAGATGCCCAAAGAATGAGTTCTACTTTGTCCCTTCTTATATTTGCAGCCAATTCTGTAAGGCGCCCCCTTTTTTTTCTTGAGGGTATTGTTGATTTTTGTTGCAGGACAAAAGGGCATGGCATTAAAACCTGCATATTTAAAATTCTAGAAGATATTTCTTTTTCATATAGGAGCCTATGGTTAGGTTGTACAAAGGGCTTTGGCCATGGGTATTACTTTTACCTTTTTCTCACAGTGGTTTGAATGTCTTTTTCCATATGTCAGCTTATTTATTGGAATTTCAGGTCTAAAATTCTAATTAAAACTGATGGTCACTAGTTAATGCATGATTAAATGTAAGAGCTGGAAAAGTTGATGCAATTTAATCAAATATTACCAATCTGAGCTTTTCTCCCTCCTATGTGTTAGGCTGTGCTCCTGGATACATTAATAAGTGGCCATTTTTTTCTGGAATTCTGTGCTCTTACTGCTTCCTTTCATTACATTAGGCAAGGTTCCACTAGATGAGACATTTGCAGTCTTAAGACTTCCTGCCGGGGTTCAGACTTTGTATTTTTGACATTGAAGCTGTCGTGTCCCTGAAGCTACTTAATTAGAAACACATTCATTTCAGTGTACATTGGAAAAAGCTTGGACAGCAAAGCCAGGCACACTTGGAAGTTGAAGCATTTGTGTAGCTGGCAGCTAAACTGGTTTACAGTTTAAGGGGAAAAAATACTATAGGGTATTTCTTATACCCCAGAAGCAAAGAGCTGAACATGGCTAGCAGATACCTTAAAAAAGAGAGAAAGGAGAAGAAAAGAAAGGATAATTCCACTTTCACTGCAGTTATATGTGTAGTTCTTTCTTTGGCTGTTATCAAATACCAAAAGTGCAAGTCTTTTAGAAGAATAGTTCCCAAACTGTGCTGCTAATAGTAAGTCTGTTTCATAGGCTCTTGAAATCTATAACTGCTGAGATCTGTGGAAAAGAGAACATTTTATATTCTGGGGAAAGATTTTGCTTGAGGAATTTTATTTATTGAATGGTAATGAGGAAATTGTGTCCTTTCTTATTTTTAAATGTTTGTGCAATTGTAAAATGTACATCTGATGTTTAAAATCTTCTTTACATGGCCATTGCCTTCTTTGGTACTACATTGCATTACAAACAAACTTCTCCTGCCTCATTACTCAGTTCTCGTTGTTTCCCTGACCGAGTTCCCAAAGAGACATCCTTGTGCATTTATTTGGACAACCCCACCTGGTCCAGAGGAAAAATATCTGGTTGCCCCAGTCTGAGTGTGTGTCTTTCCTAAGTTCATGAAAAATACCCTCTGTACATTTCATAGGATATACCATGTATTGGAGAGACAAATGGAAAAGTTGCCGGTTATTTCCATTTTTTTCCTATTCCATGACTTCCCTCCCTCCCCCGCAAGGAAAGACATGGCGTGGAAGGAGGGCCTTAGAATTGTTGATTTCATGTCTCAGACTCAGCGTGACACCAAGGAAAAAATGCATACACTGTAGAGTGAAAGCCCAGATTTACCACTTACTTGGTTTTATGCCTTTAGATAAGTAATTTAACCTCTCTAGTCTATTTCCTTCTCTGTAAAATAAAAGTTACACCTACCTTGAAAGGTTGTTATATGGATTAGCAAAGGTGAATTTAAAGGTCTTCATATAACGACTAGCACATTTATCATTGATAGGTAATGTCATAAGTGGTCATGAAAACAAAAGAAGCATCGGTCAAACCCAAAGTGCCCAGGCTTTAAAACTGCTGGAGTTGGATTCTCATCCTCTTGGTTAGTCACTGACTTGGGAACCTGTTGGTCTGTGAGTCAAGAAGTTAGCAGAGGCTGTATGAATTGTGTCATCACATGGCGTATGTGCCACTGGGGTGGAGAAGATTCCTGGCAGCTCTCCAAAGACCTAGTTTAACTAGAATGAATAGTTGGGTCCTGTCTCTTGATGGTAGAAAGAAATATCAAATAAAAAAAGTAATCATCCTTCTTTGAACCCCATTATACCCTCTGTGTGACCTCAACTGTATTTCCCATTACCATCATGACAATCATAGTTCCCATTTTTATTGCAAACCCTGCTAGTCGCTTGTAGTGTGTGTATTTCCTCTTGTTCTAATAATAACATGCCAGGTCAAGTCCAGTCGTCCATTTTAAAGATAAAGTGACTGAGGCTGTGTGGTTTCACATCGCTGCTGTTTAGGAACTAGTACCAAAGTTGATGGTCTCACCGCTAGCCATACTGCTTGCAGTGCTACTGCATTTTTAAATTCTTCAGAAGTTTCTAGGCTTGGGAACAAAATGTCATATTAGGATTTTTGTTGTGAAAGGAAATGTAACTGTGCATACGTTTATTAAAACAGTTTTTCTCCAAATAGTGAACCATCTGTAATTTTCTGTCAAAAGCAACAGACATTAAAGCAGCTGTGTGTCTCTGTTTCTTTTCGCAGTGCTCCCATGCCCTACCTCATAGGAATCCATTTAAGTTTAATGGAGGTAAGTTGGCTTCTTTCCTCCCCAATCCCTCGACTTGTGTTTTGCTTTGTGCAGTGGAAAGATACAGTGTCAGGATGCACAGCTCTGCATGTGGGAGTGGGTTAAAGCATCAGCTCATGTGTGTTCGCTCCTAGGTGTACAGAGCTGAATGTTCTGCTTAGACCCTTTCCACTGGCTATTAATTGCAGGGCTTTTCCACTTTGCTTAGAAATTGTGGATTTTCATGGGTGAGGGAGTGAGGGTCAGGAAAGCAGGAGGAAACTGTTCTATGAGGATTTAAATGAGTGAAGACAAGTGGTTCATTTTTCATCTTGGTATTTATTCTAAATCACTATAACAATATTACATTTTCTTCATTGTAGGAAATGTGACATAAATATATGTCGCATAAATGCGGTACAGTATATAGAAGTAAGAAGAATGTTAAAATTACCCACAAGACCATTATTCCAAGCTGAACCACTGTTAGCATTTTACTGTTCTTCCAGTCTTTATTCTGTAGATATGCATTTTACATAAATGTGCATAATTGATATGTGATAAATACATATAGTTTGTGTCTTTATTTCACTTAACATTATGGCATGAGCATTTCTATGTTTTTGTATCTACTCTTAATAATAGTTTTCAATGTATTACCTGTCATTGTCATTATTTGGATATCCCATAACTTAGGCATTTTCCTACTGCTGGACATTTAAATTGTTTATCATTTTTTTCACTATTATAAATAGCATTTCAGTGAACATCTTTATGCATAAGGCTTTATCTGCATTTTGACTTATTTCCTGAGCATAGAATCCCTAAAGTAGAAATGCTTGGTCAAAGCTATGAATTTGATGCCAGATTGCCTTCTGTATGGCTGTACCAATTAGATAGTTCTTTTAAAGGACTTCTCTGTGCTTTTGTAAGTGCCGTTAATCTGTAGCCATGAACCCCAAGCCTCTTCTTCCTCAGGAGAGAGCAGACATTGTACTAGAGCAGAACGGGGGTGGGGGTGGGGGTGGCTGCCTGTATGGCACAGGAGATAAGCTCTCAAGAGGGACTCTACAACCATGTCCGTCTGTGACGGTACTTTGCATGTCTTAAAGGAAGTGCTACTTCTCTTCTTCTGTTCCCTTCATTTCACGTCGACGAGGACCACCTGCTTCGCCACTAACTGTTGCACGCTGTGCTATTGTGCTTACGAAAATGAAACAAGTTGGTTATCGAAAAACCTGTTTGTTTGACATTGAGAATCTTGATCAAAATAGACCACAGAAATCTGCTCAAATTTCTAATTTGACAGGACGGCCATGTGGCTCCTACATTCTGTTAACAGTCCCTCCCTGTCATCACCCAGCCCTAAGCACATACAGTACACAGTTTATGGTCTATCTTGGATGATGTATTTAGATCAGATTAAAGAGATTTCTTCTCTGTTTTACCTTTGTTTGATAAGTTTGGAAGGGTTTACTCAAAGCTTCCATATGAAAAATTAAAGGCGAATATTTTCTAATAGAACTTGTGTGCCAATTCCTATAGAGTTTGAAATGCTAATCTAAAGATGACTTGGTCTATGAGAGCCTACAGTTCCCTTCTACCTTTCCCCTGCCTCCCAATCTACTCCAGCATAGGCTTTTTTAGGCCTTTTTGTGTCCCAGTGCCTTTGGAGTTCTTCGAGTGCCTAGCCTTGGCTTGCTTTTCTTCTGTACGCATCTTCTAGTCACCTTGTTTAAGGGTTTTTGCCTCAGCTACCAACTTAAGTCAAAGCTGTGATTCTAACACTGTTCTGCCTCTCTGAACGTCAGTTCCAAAGTTTCAAGTACCAGTTGCGTTCACCTGGATGTCTCCCTCAGTCTTGCCCAATTTCTTGCCTGCACTTGGCTGTGCACACACATAAGCCCACACACACAGGCACACACACTCAGCCGCTCTGCCCCTCTTCCAGTGTCTTCCCGGGAGTGAGACCATTGTCTGCAGAGACACCAAAGTGGGACGTGGTGAGCATGGCTGAATGTTCCTCTTCCTCATTCATTCTTCTTTAATGCTCACATAATCTCTGAAATGCCTTTTTCTCACTCCTTCCTCTGTTCCTCCATTGACACTTTTTCTTTGCTTTCATGGATTCTTGCAAAGCCTAATTCATGCATTTAATAAGCAAAAAGAGAGCCTCTTATGTTCCAGGCATTGTGCTAGGTCGTAGAGGTATAAAAGTGAATGTAAAATTCATTCCGTAGTCCCTGTATGGATTGGGTTCCCTTCCACCTGGTCACTGCTTCGGGTGTCCCACCTTCCACTTTCCCTCTGCACTGCCCCTGCATTCTGCATGGGTTTTCTGCTGCTGTCAAGCCTTTTGCTGATCACTGCAGAGCACTTGTTAGCTGGCACCCTAGCTGATCCCTAAATGGATCCTCATCCCCACACTTCCGCCTGGAGAAGCCTTGCCCTTGTCCAACTCTTCATGAAGTCTTCCATCTTATCTTTTTTCACATATCAAGCCTCTTGCTCTGAATGGTAGCTCTTTGCTTCCTTCTCCCTCTTTAACATTCCCCAAAGCATGAATGCTTTTGGGGAAAGACGTGTGCATCATTCATTGTGGCGGCCTCAGCCGCTTTAGCAAGATGCCAAGCGGGTGGTACTGGCTGAGTGCTTAGGGACTGTAATTAGGAGCGCATTCACAGTTCTCCAGTAGACATCACTGTTTGCAGGCAACCCAGTGACATGATTTTATGTAAAAACAAGGGAGGTTAATATTTTACTATGTGTATGATTATAAGTAACTTAAAATAAGGCCCTTTGTAGTATAACATGCAGTGTAAAATATGCATACGTTTGAAGCTGTAACTTCAAGCAGAGTTTTGCACATAGGTGAATGGGCGCAAATCTGTTCTGTCCAGCCTTTATGGGGTTGTAAATGAGAAGATTCAGCAAGTACTAATCAGAGTAGATACTGGCCTTGTTGACTGACTATGACTGAGGAGGAGTTTGCTCTGCCAGACTCCTCTGTGGTCAGCCCCAAAGAAAAACAAATATGGTAGATGCTGTACCCTTGAAGCCAGTGTTGGCTGGGCGCATTGGGCAGCCATGAACTACCAAATGTTGGAATTTCTGATCTCTTGCCCCGGGTTTCACCTTAGATTTGGAGGGCCTGATTTGTGCTTGCCAATAGTGTTTATTTGAGACACTAGAAACACTTCCCCATGGGCCTTAATGCCTTGGGAGGAGTGCAGACCTGTAGCCAAAGGAGCTCTCTTTAAGGAAGGAATGTGGGGAGGCCTATCTTCTCTCACTACACTAGTTTTCTTACTGGCAATTCAGCAAAAGGCTTATTTTTGACTGTCTTGTTATTTTTTCTTGAAAGCTATAGGCACCTTATTATGCCTTTGCATATGTGCCAGAATTTTTTAAACTTCAAATGAATGTGGCAGATGTTCATAAAAGTTTAGAAAAAGCTACCATAGGAAGACTTTTTAACCATTTTTATGACACTCAAATTTGTTGCACAAAAAGAAATATAAATTATAACCTAGTATTCTCATTTGAAAAAGGTTATTTTGGGCTAAGACCTAATTCTAGTCTTAAAGCTTGAACAGAATGTTGTTGCTGTTTGTTAAATGGTAACCTTGTTACCATAAAGAGTCCGGTTTCCTTAAGTGACAAGTCTATAGCTGATCATCATTCTACTCTCTCCTTCTGCCTTTTGATATTCTTTCTCTCATTTAAGCAATTCGAGGCTAGTGGCAAGTTAGCAGAATAGCCAACGGTATTGGCATAGACCTAGCTTCTTCTTGGAGAGAATGATCATGTTAGTTGGCAGCTAGGAAATCCCAAAACATGGCCAGATTACACAGTGACTATTTCCTTTCATTCAACTAATCTCAATTTAGTACAAGCGACATTTATGCAGTCCCTCTTCTGTGCCATATCTGGTAGCAGGTGCCAGATCTTGTCTAGTAGATGATGCTTCTCTATTTGATAAATGATGACCTTCCTTCCAAGCTTCACAAATAGTGCTTTGTGTACAGACTTCAGAGTGACATGAGAGAAGTATCCAGAAGGCATTTTATATTGTTCCTGGTGGTAGGATGGCCAGTAAGGAAGAAGGAAAGGCAAAAGCAGTAACATAGTTCCAAAGAGAGGTTCCGGCTAGCTTGTAAATGAAGTGTCACATGTACCCAGAGGTAGTGAAGTGTGGCATCTAGAACATGGGCCCTGGAGTCTGGCTTTACTATTTCCATTCACACAGTCTCAGGCAAGGTAATTGTTCACTGTACCTCTGTTTTCTCACCTTTCTCACAAAGACCAGTTGTCTTTATTGGATCCTTGTGAGGATCCAGTGACAAGCACTGGCTTGTTAGATGCCTAGCACAGTGCTCATAAAGAGTTCCACAAAATCAGCTGTCATTGTTGTTTCTGTTTCTTCAGTGGCTTTAAAGCCATTTACCTTGTTAAACAAATGGCTTTGAAAGGTGCTTTAAGAACTCTGAGCTTCCAAGGGCCACCATCTTCATTCCCTAGGGAAAGAGAGTTTCAGTACAATTGGTTTGTGCCTGCCCTATTTTGTCCTGGTTTGCATTGCAGGAGACACTATACCAGGGTTGGAATTGTAAGACTTGATAATTGTACTTCCAAGCCTCTACCTGACCATTTCCTTGTTGTGTTAACCTCAGTCATGAACGTTGCCTCTCTGGATCATACTGTCTTCATCCACAATGGCTGAGTCCTACAGAGGTCCAGCATATCCTAGTACCTGGCATGTGGTAAGGATACAGTACACAATACTTCCTAAAGCAATGTGTTGGGTGTCTTGTGTCCAGACACTACATTATACCAGGAATTTCGTGACTGCAACATATTGTCTACCTTCCCTGAGTTTTGTCTGAAGCAAATTCACACAAGTAAAAAGTTAACTGTGGTGAATTTGAGTTGTGTTCTCTGAAAGGAATGACATCATCCCTAGGCTGAGGGCTGAGGACTTTGCTTCTCGTGGGAGGAGAATGACTATACTGAATCCGAAT